GTCATCGGGTGACTGAGGTCAAGCAGAGGGACGCACGGTCGCCGGTCAACATTGACGCGCCGCAGATCCACTTCGTCAACCAGGTCTTCGTCCTCATCGTCGGTCGCGCAGCTCCTGGTGCCAGTTTTCTTCGACCCGCAGCTACAGCGGTCCCCGGCATCCCGGGCCGACAAAAACTGCGCTCTGTAATGTCTGTTCTTCATATACATGTACGGACTGACGATGGCGGCCGTGGTAGCGTTCAAGTTGCGAGTCGAATCTGCTGCACAAAACGAATCGTAGTTGGCTGACGACGGCGCATCCAGCGCGCAGAGCTTCGGTGTCAGCGAAACGTAGTCCGACAGGGCCAGCGAAACGTCGCCTCGACCCCCACCTTGCATGACCTCGTTGAACTTATGCCGTCGTCCAAACGCCCGGTTCGGTTGCATCGGATATGCGGGTTCGCTTTCATAGCCGTCCGCCGAACGTCGAGGTTGAAACAGCTCTCGAGGCTTATAATCCGCGAAGGTGTAAGCCGAATTTTTCAGAATGCCTCGTTCCGAATGGCAGCCCTCACGACGAGAAGAACTCACGCAGTTCTGATCCGCATAAAACACGCAATCAGCGGTGTCCTTCGACTTGACTGACAGCGACTCTCGCTCGTCATCACCCTCCCTGATATCGTGCAGCACTCGTTGCTTTTGACGAAACCTACAAAATGTATGACGATAAACAAGGTGAAACTTCAACTCCATCTCAAAACACTAACCCGTACAGTTTCGCTGGTCCAAACCGTATAGTTCTGTTTGTGACTTCGGTCGATGAGCTGCTCTCCTTCTCCGAATCCGCCTTCGTCGGACCAAATTTCTCCCCCTTGTTCAAAACGGTGGTTTTCCGCCTGAAAATCACAAATGTTAACTAAGAAAAAACTAGACTGGCATGTTAAAATATAATTCGGTTGCTACATCCTGTTTTGTACTACACCAGATGCGAAACGAGTTATTCTATGCTAACGGATAGACTATAAGTCGGTTGGTTAATGAGGTCATTGATAACTGGAGCATCTGCATATGTACAAGAAAATTCTGTCTAAGAAGAGAGTGTGACCAGAAACATTGATGAAAAAGGAGTCATCATTCTAATTCACTACATTCAAAAACACGATGACAATTTCTCGTCACGTCGCATATCCATGGAACCAACGCTTGAAACGAAGCAACGGAAAAAATGATTGGAACTACAATCAATTTTCTCTGTGACACGCTTCATGTACTTTCTCTACATTTGCCACTAATCGATCTTCCATCCACCGTTCGATGAAGACTTTTCCAAAACCTCTCACCGCCACCTTCGATTATTTACATTAAATTATATTTTGACATTTATATACATATATACAATATATCCGGAAATTCAATAATTTGTTCGTGCGTTGGTGTTTATACTGAAAAGTGCATAAAGCCATGGTCCGGACCACCCTGAAGAAGGATCGTGAGAGACGATCAGCAACTCGGTAATGGTCAATTACCCCA